AACCGCCATCCTCAGATCTCAGCCTCCTGAGTAGCTAGGATGACGGCTGTGAGTCACCAGCACCTAGCAGGGACTTTTTCCTTGACATGAAGAAATGGGGATCGTTGTGGATCACCAGGGGCCCAGTGTCACATGGGGTCCCCATAGCAGGCAGACAATAGATCAGAAGCAGGGCAACGGGGAAAGGCGCTATGCTGCTGCTCTGAAGAAGGGGCCACGGGCCGGGCCGAGGGATGCCGGCCTCTGGGGGAGCTGGAACAGGTGGAAGGCATCTCCTCCTCAGGGCCTCCTGTAGGACCAGCCCTGTCCCCGTGGACCATAACCCAGGGAGGTTCATGTCAGACTCTGTCCAGGAGACAGAGCATGAGAGAGGATGAATGTGTGTTGTTCTTTCATTTTTAATTTCTTTGAGATTAAGTGATTACATTAATCTCACAGTATTGTGGGGTAGTGATCTATTTAGCTGAAGTCATAAACACATTTTAACCTTCAAAAGGTGAATTGTCATTATCATGGTCTATAAAGCTTATGAACTCTACAAACATAGAGAATGCAACTATTTCTTCCACATTGGGTGACACCTAGGTTTCTTTCCTTTTTGCTTAGTGTAAGCTGTTCCCTCTTTCTCGCTCATTCCCTCCCATCACTGCCCTTGAATTGCTTACTTTTTCATTCATGTCCACTACAGCTGATGGGCCCCTCTGTTGTATTTTTCCCCTGTTTCCCTCTCATTCTGCGTCCTCCTCCCTCAGATGTGCACGTGTGTATACCATATGTGGGGTCAAGAACAGAGAGAGTCATCTAAAAACAATGCAACAAATTAAGAGGATGTCTTTGTTTCTTGAGTCCTGTTTATTTTGTCATATATCCTTGCATTTTGGATTTAACATCCACATTTCAGGGAGACCACATGACATTTGTCTCTCTGATCTTGGCTTATTTCACTCAACATGATTTGTTCTAGTTCCATCCATTTCTCTGTGAATGCCATTATTTTGTTCTTTCTAATAGTTGCATTATATTCCATTGTATATAGATACCACAATTTTTGGATCCATTCATCTGTAGTGGGGCATCTGGGTAGTTTCCGTATCTTGGCTATTGTGAACAGTGCAGCAATGAACATGGAGGTGTAGACGTCCCTGTGGTGTCCTGGTTCCTGTTGTTCAGGGTAGATGCCTAGGAGTGGTATGGCTGAGTTGTAGGGTATGCTATATTTAGCTTTCTGAGGAAGCTCCACAATGCTGTCCAGAGTGGTTGTATTAGTGTACATTCCCATCAGGAATGCAATAGGGTTCCTCTTTCTCCACATCCCCACCAGCATTTATTGTTGTTTGAATTTAGGATGTGGGCCATTCTGACTGGGGTAAGGTGTATCTCAGGGTTGTCTTTATTTGCATTTCCTTTACAGCCAGGGATGATGAACATTTCTTCATGTGTTTCTTTGCCATTTTTATCTTTTCTTCTGAGAAGTGTCTCTTTAGCTCCCTTGCCCATTTAGTAATTGGTTTGTAAGATTTGGGAGGGATTAGTTTCTTGAGTTCCCTGTATATACTGGATATTAGGCCTTTGTCTGATATGTTGCTGGTGAATCTCTTTTCCCAATTAGTTGGCTGTCTTTCTAGTTTGGCAGCTATGTCTTTAGCTGTGCAGAACCTTTTTATGTTAAGGTATTCCCATTTATAAATTATCTCTCCAATCTGTTGTGACCCTAGGATTCTGTTCAGGAAGTTCCTGCCTGTGCCTGTAAGTTCTAGTGTCTCTCCTACTCTGTCCTGCAGTAGTTCTGAGTTTTAGGTTTGATGTTAATGTCATTAATCCATTTTGAGTTGATGTTAGTGCATGGTGACAGGCTGGGGTCTACTTTTAGTTTTCTGCATGTGGCCGCCCAGTTTTCCCAGCACCAATAGTTGAAGAGTCTATGTTTCTTCCACTGTATGTCTTTGGCTCCTTTGTTGAATATCAGCTGACTGTAAGCATGTGGTTTTATTTCTTGGTCTTCAAATCTCCATTGGTGGTCTGGTCTATTTTTGTGCCAATATCAGCCTGTTTTAGTTATTATGGCTCTATAACAGAGCTTAAAATCTCATATTGTGATCCCTCCAGCATTGCTTCTTTTGCCTAGAATTTCTTTGGCTATTCTAGGTCTTTTGTTATTCCATGTGAATTTTTGGGTTGTTTTTTCTATTTCAGTAAAGAATGTTATTGGGATTTTGATAGGAATTGCATTGAATTTGTGCATCATTTTTGGCAGTATGGCCAGTTTCACAATATTGATTCTGCCCATCCAAGGACATGGAAGGTCTTTCCATTTCCTGGTGTCCTCTTTATTTCTTTAGGCTTCTCTAGTTTTCACTAAATAGGTCCATCTTTGGTTAGTTTAATTCCTAGATATTTTATTTGGGAGGGAGTGGTTATTGTGAATGGGGTTGTTTTCCTGATTTCCCTTTCTGCTTGTACATTGTTGGTGTACAGAAAAGCAACTGGTTTTTGAGGGTTAATTTTGTATCTTGCTACTTTGCCAAAGTGATTTATAGGTTCCAGGACTTTGGGAGAGGAGTTTTTGAGGTCATTTAGGTATAAGATCATGTCATCTGCAAATAGGGATAGTTTAATTTCTTCCTTCCCTGTGTGCATCCCTTTAATGTCCTTCTCTTGGCTTATTGCTCTAAGGATCCCAAAACTGTATTGAAGAGGAGTGGAGAGAGTGGGCATCCTTGCCTTGTTTCTGATTTTAGGGGAATTGGTTGTAGTTTTTCCCCATTTAGTATGATGTTGTCTGTTGGTCTGTCATATATGGCTTTTACCGTTTTAAATATTGTTCTTTCTATTCCTATTTTCTCCAGAGCTTTTAATGTGAATGGGTGTTGTATTTAACAAAAGCCTTTTTCCACGTCAATAATCATGTGGCTCTTGACCTTGACTCTGTTAATGTGATGTATTATGTATGTGATTGATTTACATATTTTAAACCATCCATGCATTTCTAGAATGAAGCCTACATGACCATAATGTATGATTTTTTAAATATGTTTCTGCTTTCTGTTGGCTAAAGTTTTATTGAGGAGCTTTATATCTGTGTTCATCAAGGAGATTGGTCTGTAGTTCTTTTTTTGTTGGATCTTTGCCTGGTTTGGGGATGAGTGTGATATTGGCTTCATAGAATGAGTTTGGGATTTCTCCCTCTGCTTCTATTTAATGGATGAGCTTGAGGAATGTGGGTATTAGTTCCTCTCTAAAAGTCTTACAGAATTCTGTAGTGAATCTGTCTGGGCCTGAGCTTTTCTTTATTGGAAGACTTCTGATTGTTTTCTCTATCTCATTGTAAGTTACTGGGTTATTTATTTATATCTTCTTGGTTCAATTTGGGCAATTATACTTCTGTAGAAATTCATTTCTGCTAAGTTTTCCTTCTTTAGTGAGTATAGATTCTAGAAATAGTCTTTATGATCATTTGGATGTCTTGGATGTTTGTTGTAATGTTTCCTGTGGCATCCCTGATCTTATTGATTTGGGTCTCCTCTCTTGAATGTGTCTCATTTTAAATTTCCCTGTTGCTGTGATTTGTTACAAACAAGGGTTGTACCTCAGTCCTGTTGGTGCTGCTGTAACAAAATACTGTAGGAAGCTAACCCGAGCAGTAAAGTCTGTGAAACTCTATGTATGTATGTATGTATGTATGTATTCATTTGCCAGTCCTGGAGCATGAACTCAGGGCCTGGGCACTGTCCCTGATCATCTTTTGCTCAAGGCTAGCACTCTTCCACTTGAGCCACAGTGCCACTTCCAGCTTTTTCTGTCTATGTGGTACTGAGAAATAAAACCCAGGGTTTCATGCATGCTAGGCAAACACTCTACCACTAAGCCACATTCCCAGCCCCATAAGACTCTTATCTGCAGTTAACTAGCAAAAAGTCACTAGTGGAGCTGTGGTTCAAGTGGTAGAGGGGACTGGTTATGTGGCCAGGCCCTGAGTTCAAACCCCAGGACTGGTACCATGCGCGTGCGAGCACGTGCGCGCGCGCACACACACACACACACACACACACACACACATTGGTAGAGTGCTACCCTTGAGCAAAAAAAGCCAAAGAACAGCACCTAAGCCCTGAGTTCTGAGTTCAAGCCCTAGTCCTTGGACATGCATACACGCATACACACACACACACACACACACAGAGGCACAGATAAAGTGAGTGGCTTATAAACAGTAGAAATCTGTTTCTTGAAGTTCTGGAGCTGGAGGAAGTCAAGATGGGGGTGAGGATTAGGCCAGGTCTGGCCCTTCCCCCAGCTGTGAACTGCTGAGGTGTACTGTGTGTTCTCCCATGACAGAGCAAATTGGGGTCTCTCTTGGGTCTCTTTCATAAGGACAAAGGGCCTCACCTCCCTGGCCTCCTCGCACCCCCTTACTACATTCCCCCACCGCCCCCCGTAATATCATCACTGAGGGAGCCAGCATGTTAACATATAGATCTGGGGGTTGGCAGGCATTTTCCTGACCTCTTTGAGATTTGGTTCTACTTCTGCAGCACAGAGATGATAATCAATAAGCATCCTAAAGATCAATGTCATGCAGTGTGGCTTTCAGGTTTATTAGGGGACCCCCCCCCCCCCGCTCCCTTGAGTGTAAGGTACTCAGTGCAGACTAGAGACTCAGGAGGAAAATTCTAAGGAGGAAGCTGAAGTCTCAGCTCAGGGATGTCCGAAAGGGTGGGTGAGTGACTTGGTCTGCAGCCAATCTCAGGAGGGAAGTGAACAAAGTTCTCATTCTTCCAGTCTCATCCTGGGACCTCCACCTCTGCCCACCCCGCCCCCATCCCACCCACCCCCCCATCCCCGCCCCCATCCCACCCACCCCCCCCATCCCCACCCCCCCATCCCACCCCACCCCCATCCCCGCCCTTGCGGTCCAGGCTGCAAAGCTTACAGAATCACACACATGGGTGAGAATGCACTTGAGTGTTTACTAGGGAAAGGGGTGAGGGACAGAAGGCGGCTGTCACACTTTCTTGGTAACGCTTTTGGGGATGGCGAGCTCGTAGATCCGGGGGGATGCATGAGCCACCAGAGAGGCTGGGGAGACCCGGAAGGGGTTGTAGCCTTCGTTGAGATCCTTGCGGACCTTAGGCCGAGCCAGGGAGAGGATCCGCTCACTGGCCACTGCCTTCTTGGTGCCATTCAGGACCTCCCAGCGAGGACTGCGGTCAGGTATGCACTGTTCCCACTGGGCCTTGGGCACTAGCATGTAAGGAGAGGGACAAGCATGGGGCTCAGCCCTTCAGCCAAGCTCTAAGCCCTAGTGGGGATATCTGCACAAGAAGGACCGAACACAGCTAGGTCCTTCCACCCTGGAATATCATGTAGCCACGAATAAGACAATGTTACCGTGTGAAGGGGCTTTGAGGACATCATGCTCAGTAAGGCACAAAAGGCCCCACAGGCCAAGCATGGGTGGCTCACACCTGTAGCTACTCAGGAGGCTGAGATCTGAGGATCAGAGTTCAAAGTCAGCCCGGGCAGAAAAGTCTGTGAGACTTTTATCTCCAATTAACCACCAGAAAACTGGAAGTGATGCTTGGCTCAAAGTAGGAGAGTGTTAACCTTGAGATGAAGAGCTCAGGAAGAGCATCCAGACCCTGAGTTCAAGCCCCATGACTGACAAAAAAGAAAAAAAAGGCCTGTGCTAGGGCTAGAGAGGACATTGGGTGACAGCTCACAGGGGGACTCAACTTCTTGTGGGGGTGATAGAAGGTTTTAGAACCGAATAGTAGTGATGGTTGCACAATTCTAAGAAGATGAAATTATCCAGGCACCGGTGGCTCAGGCCTGTAATCCTATCTATTCAGGAGGCTTAGATCTGAGAATTGCAGTTCAAAGCCAGCCTGGGCAGAAGAGTCCTTGAGACTCTTATCTCCAATGAACCACCAGAAACCCAGAAGTGGCGCTGTGGCTCAAGTGGTAGAGCTCTCGCCTTGAGCTGAAGAATGCAGGGACAGCTCAGGCCCAGAGTTCAAGCCCTACAACTGGGGGGGGTGGAGGGGGTGTTGATGGAATTTTAAGGCCGGTCAGGCACCAGTGGCTCATGTTTATAATCCTAGCCTGAGATCTAATGATTAAGGTTGAAAAGCAGCTCATGGAAGGAGAGACTGTAAGACGCTTATCTCCAATTAACCAGCAAAACTTCCAAAGTGGAGCTGTGGTTCAAGTGATAGAGTGTCAGCCTTGAATGAGAAGGCCAAGCAAGAGCGTACTAGACCCTGAGATTGAGTTCGAGGCCCAGTGTTGGCACAGAAACAAAGTAAATCTATTTTTTAAAAGCCTGGTACCAGTGGTTCAGACCTGTAATTTTAGGAGACTGAGATCTAAGGATCACTGTTGGAAGCCAGCCCAGGTAGAAAAGTCCACGAGAGTCTTAGCCTCTGATGAGCCACCCAAAAGCTGTAAGTGTATCTGTGGCTCAAGTGGTAGAACGCTAGCCTTGAGCAAAAAAGTTCAGGGACATGCCTAGGCCCTGAGTCCCAAACACACACACACACACACACACACACACACACACACACACACACACACACACACACACCACACACACCAGTTTGGGCCCCAGTGCAGACAGAGAAGGGCACAAAGGCCATCCTCTTCTGGAGGGACAGCCTAGGCTCCTCAGAGGCCCATGGGGGAAGGGAAGGCCAAGCCCCTTTCCCTAGCTGGCAAACACCAGCGGCCACCAGGTTTGACCAGTGCTCTACAACACCTTGGACTGGGAAAGGGGCCTTAGTGCCCCCTAGGGGCAGGGAGGACCAACTGCCTTTGAAGTTTGGCGTATGAGTGCTCTGTGTGCTTGAATTTGGGGGCAGTTTCTCTGTCTCTGTCTCTGTCTCTCTGTCTCTCTTTCTCTGTCTCTCTCTCTCTGTCTCTCTCTCTCTCATTTCATTCAAGGCTGATGCTCTACCACTTCAGCCACAGCTGCACTTCCAGAATTTTGATGACTAATTGGAGATAAGTCTCATGAAGTGGGGCTGAGAAGGTGGCTCAGTGGTAGAGCACTTGCTTTGCATGCATGAGGCCCTGGGTTCGATTCCTCATGCACCACATAAGCAAAAAGGAAAAAAGCCGGAAGTGGTGCTGTGGCTCAAGTGGTAGAGCGCTAGCCTTGAGCTGAAGAGCTGAGGGACAGTGCCCAGGCCCAGAGTTCAGGCCCCACGACTGGACCCAAAAAAAAGTCTCATGAAGTTTTTTTTTGTTCTTTCTTTCATTTTTTTTTTTTTTTTTTGCCAGTCCTGGGGCTTGAACTCAGGACCTGGGCACTGTCCTTGAGCTCCTTTTGCTCAAGACTAGCATTCTACCATTTGAGCCACAGCGCCACTTCCAGCTTTTTCTGTGTCTATGGGACTGAGGAATCGAACCCAGGGCTTCATGCATGCTAGGCAAGCACTCTACCACTAATCCACATTCCTAATCCCATCTCACGGACTTTTCTTGTCTGCATTGGCTTTGAACCGCAGTCCTCAGAATCTTAGTCTCCTGAGTAGCTAGAATTAGACAGGAGCCACCAGCACCTGGCTATGTCTGGACTTTTCAGCTCCATGCATTACAGCCTTATTGATGGTGGTGACAACCTTCCACCCAGTGCCGTGAGAACTTGGGGGAGTGCAGCCACCCAGTCGACAGTACCACATGCCCTGCTTGCGTAGGGCTTGCCGTAGACTGGGGTGTGCCTGGGTAGCAGGGCACAAGCTTGTATGGACAAGCCCTGGCTTCATCCCCAGAAATACAGACATGTGCACGCATGCACACGCGTGTGTACACAGACACACACAGAAAATCTCCCATGAGTGAATGCCTACTGTGGTGGTGAGTGTTGGTGGTCAGCCAGGCAGGATTACAAGTCACCCAAAAGGTTAATAAAGCACACCTCTGAGTATGTCTGTGAAGGCATTTCCAGAGAAGATGGACAGGTGCAACCATGAATGAGATGCAAAGACCCTCCCTAAATGTGGAGAGCACATTCCAATAGGCTGGGGATGCAGAGGAACAAAAGTGAAAGAGACAGGTGTACCGGCTCACACCTGTAATCCCAGCTACTCAGGTGGTAGAGATCAGGACTGCACTTCAAAGCCAGCAGACCTCTAAAAATATGAGCGAGGTTCCCATCTCAACCATCTAGCCAGGCATGGTGACATGTACCTATGATCCCAACTAATCAGGAGGCCTGGGTCTGAGTTTAGCCCCAAGCAAAAAGAAGAACCCTGGGGCTAGGAACGTGGCTCAGGGGTAGAGTGCTTGCCTTGCATGCATGAGGCCCTGGGTTCGATTCCTCAGCACCACATACACAGAAAAAGCTGGAAGTAGGTGCTCTGGCTCAAGTGGTAGAGTGCTAACCTTGAGCTGAAGAGCTCAGGACAGTGCCCAGGCCCAGCAAAAAAAAAAAGAAGAACCAACCACCCTATCTGAAAAATAACTCAAGTGCACTAGACATTGATGAAAATGAACTATTCAACTCATGGATGGAGATGCGAGGGAGGGAATGGGAGAGAATGAGGGAACAGATGACACTACAAAAGGAAATGTAGCTGGGCGCCAGCGGCTCACACCTGTCATCCTAGCTACTCAGAAGGCTGAGGTTTGAGGATTGAAGTTCAAAGCCAGCCCAGGCAGGAAAGTCCATGAGACTCTTATCTCCAATAAACCACCAGAAAACAAGAAGTGGCACTGTAGCTCAAGTGGTAGAGTGCTAGCCTTAAGCTGAAGAGCTCAGGACAGTGCTCAGGCCCAGAGTTCAAGCCCCACGACCCAACAACAACAACAAAAAAAGAAATGTACCCATTACTTGACATATGTAAATGTAACCCCTCTGGTAATAATAATAATAAGGTAAATTGATACATTTTTTTTAAAAAAGAAAAATAAAGCAAAAACTGGGGGGGGGGGCTCAAGCAGCAGAGCACCTGCCCTACCAAACACAAGATCCCGAGCTCAAATTCTGGTACCACAAAAAAATGTATAGAAAGGAAGCCAGCTAGTGTGTAATCTTCTCTACCTGGGTGGATGTGACTCTCTGATACTGCTATCCCTTGGGAACACCATCTAGTCTGTTCAGCGTCTTGCGTTGTTGTTGGTCATGGGGCTTGAACTCAGGACCTGGATGCTGTCCCCGAGCTCTTTTGCCCCAGGCTAGCATTTTATCACTGTGAGCCACAGTCCCACTTCCAGTTTTCTGGTGGTTCGTTGGCAAGAAGAGTCTCATGGACTTTCCTGTCTGGGCTGGCTTTGAACCTCGATTCTCAGATCTCAGCCTCTTAAAGTAGCTAGGACTACAGGCGTGAGCCATCAGTACTCAGCTTCCCTTAGTTGTTTGTTTAAGCAGATTTACACTCTCCAGAGAGCTCCCGGGCCTTCAGCCTAGGACCAGGGGCTCCATGACTGCTTCTGCATCTGGGGTTCTCAGGTTTATTCTGCTTGAATAGTAGGTGTTCTAGCTTCCCCATCTTCAATCATGTAAGTCAACCCAGGAAGTCACCTTTGATCACTCTTTGTGTGTGTGTATGTGTGTGTGTGTGTGTGTGTACACGTATATGTGTGTGTATATTCTACTGGTTCCGTTCTTCTAGAGAAAGAGACCCAGAATACACCTAGTGTTTGAAAATACAACCTCAAGCTGTTCTCAGCCAGTGGTGTGGCCATGTGTTTATCTGTGCCCTGGACGTGGATGAGTGTAGATAGACCAATGTGGTGTGTACCTCCACTCATGCTTCCTCTCATTTAACTCTCTTAATGAAAGGAAAGGAACAAGCCAGTGAATGAGTGGACAGGAGACCTTACAAGCACATTTAAAAGATAAGACAGCCAGGCACTGGTGACTCATGCCTGTAATCCTTGCGACTCAGAAGGCTGATCTGAGGATGGCAGTGGGCAGAAAGAGTTTGTGAGACTCTTATCTCCAATTAACCAAAAAAGACAGAAGTAGTGCTGTGGCTCAAGTGGTAGAGCACTGGCCTTAAGCAAAAATGCTCAGGGATAGAACCCAGACCCCAAGTTCAAACTCCAGGCCAGCGCGCGCGCACACACACACACCCACACCACACATACACACACAGAGACAGAGTGAGAAAGAGAGAGACAGAGAAAGAGAGATACAGAGACAGAAAGACAGAGAGAAAGAGACAGACAGAGAGAAGATAAGATGCAAAACTGGAGCCGGGCACCCGTGGCTCACGCCTATAATCCTACTCAGGAGGCTGAGATCTGAGGATCACGGTTCAAAGCCATCCCGAGCAGGAAAGTTTGTGAGACTCTTAGCTCCCATAAACCGCTAGAAAACTGGACGTGGTGCTGTGGCTCAAGCGGTAGAGTGCTCGCCTTGAGCTGAAGAGCACAAGGACAGCACCCAAGCTCAGAGTTCAAGCCCCATGACAAAAAAAAAAAAGATGCAAAACTGGGAAGAGGGGCTGGGAAGGTGGCTCAGTTGGTAGAGTGTTTGCCTCACATGCATGAGGCCCTGGGTTCTATTCCTCAGCACCACATAAGCAAAAAGAAAAAGGCCGGAAGTGGCGCTGTGGCTCAAGTGGTAGAGCACTAGCCTTAAACTGAAGAGCTGAGGAACAGCACCCAGGCCCAGAGTTCAGGCCCCACGACCAGACCTCCCCCCCCAAAAAAAAAAAAAACTGGGAAGAATCATTTCAGTGTGTTCTACACTAAAGGGATAAATAACCTTCTTACATAAAGAGTAGGTCCAAACTCATTACCCCAAAACCCAGGACAGGAAGAACTATGGAAGGGATGAAGAAGAGCAAACCTACCAAGGGCCAAGAGCTGAGATGCACAGTGACATTTTTAGGCCTTTGGCCACTGGAGTTTGACACACTGTAGGCCACCCATGATGACAAGACACACAAACATATATCATTCATAAAAGGGTGAGTGCCATGGAGAAAGGACTCACAGATGGTGGCCAGCACCCAGAGATGAGCAAGTTCTGGAATCACACAGGGGCAAGGAGCCCTGGGATCACCAGACTTGGCTGGCTGCAATATAGAAGACTAGAGAGGTGCCTGGGGTGGTGGCTCACACCTGGAATCCTAGCTACTCAGGAGACTGAGATCTGAGGATGGGGGATCAAAGCCAGCTCAGCCAGGGAAGTCCATGAGACTTTTATCTCACATAAACTACTCAGAAAAAGCTGGAAGTGGCACTGTGGCTCAAGTGGTAGAGTGCTAGCTTTGAGCAAAAGAAGCTCAGAGACAGTGCCCAGGCCCTGAGTTCAAGCCCCTGGACCTCCAATAAATACATAAATAACAGTGGATGTTAGTTTTACTTTCCTTGTGTCAGTACTTGGACTTGAACTCAGGGCCTCAAACTCTTGCTTGGCTTCTTTGCCCAGGGTTGGTGCTCTGCACCTTGAGCCATAGCTCCATTTCTGGCTTTTTTTTTTTTTTTTTTTGGTGGTGGTGGTTAATTGGAGATGAGAGTCTCACAGGACTGGGAATGTGGTTTAGTGGTAGAGTGCTTGTCTAGCACGCATGAAGCCCTGGGATCCACTCCTCAGTACCACATACACAGAAAAAGCCAGAAGCGGTGCTGTAGTTTAAGTGATAGAGTGCTAGCCTTGAACAAAAGATCGAGGACAGTGCCCAGGTCCTGAGTTCAAGCCTCATAACTGGCAAAAAAAAAAAAAAGTGTCTCACAGACTTTCCTGCCTGGGCTGGCTTTGTACCTCAATCCTCAGATCTCAGCCTCCCGAGTAGCTAGGATGACAGGCCTAAGCCACCGACAGCCAGATCTTTCTTCTTCTTTTCCTTCTACCTCCTCCTCCTCCTCTTCCCTTCCCTCTCCTTCTTCACCTTGAACCTCAAAGGCCTGGACACTCTCCCTGAACTTTTGTGCCCAAGGCTAGCCCTCTACCACTTGAGCCACGACTCTTACTTCCAGCTTTTTGCTGGTTAATCGGACGTCAGAGTCTCACAGACTTTCCTGTCCCAGGCTGGTTTCATACTCAGATCTCAGCCTCCGAATAGCTAGCATTACCGACAGACACAAGCCACCAGCACCCAGCTCTTACTTTCTTCTTCGAGCCTTTTCTAAACCTTTTCAAAATTCTCCACAACTAGCCCTTATCACTTTTGTCTTGTGAAGCAGAAGATGGAAACAAAGCAAACACAACTGCTCCATGCTGCCCTTCTCCCTTGGCCCTCGGCCCTGTTCTCACGCTGTTCCCTCCCACTGCCAGCCCCATCTCCTGCACCGGCTTTCCCTGCTGGGGAATCACAGACAATGGCTTCTGCTGTGGGTTCACAGCCTCCAGTGTCTGCCTCCGTTCAGCAGAGGCTCTCCTGAGGGAGACAAAGTGTACCTAACTAATCTGAGGTTCAGGGAGGAGGTAAAGGAAGCAGGTGACACACATTTGGCAGAAGCAAGTCTAGCCTGTCTCCTGGCCTCACCCCCCATCTCTCCACACTCCCAAAGACACTGTGGGAGCCAGCTCCCCCCTACCCCACCCCCGTGGGTCTACTCACTGGCCAGCTGCCGAAGACGACGGTAGTTTGACACATGGGTCTTGGGTTTCGGCATGGGGTCCCACTCTTCCAAAAGGGGAGCTGGGACCTTGGGCTTTGCTAAATGCAGGATCCGTTGGCTGGGGACTGCTGTCTGAGCTGCCCGGGACACCTGCAACACCTGGAAACAGAGATCCGTGGGGAAGAAATGAAATAGCCCACAATCCCTTGCAGAGTTTACAGCCAAAGATGCCCCGCCCCCAACCCTTGTCTCAAAGCAGCACTAAAAACAAACAAACAGCAGCAGCTCAGCCAGCACCAGTGGTTCATACCTATACTCCCAGCTACTCAGCAGGCTGAGATCTAAGAATCACAATTTGAAGCCAGCCCAGGCAGGAGAGTCTGTGAGATGTATCTCCAATTAGTCACCAAAAAAAGCAGAAAGTGGAGCTGTAGCTCAAGTGGCAGAGAGTGAGCCTTGAGCAAAAAAAGGTCAGAGACAGTGGCCAGGCCCTGAGTTCAACCCCCAGGACTCTCTCTCTCTCTCTCTCTCTCTCTCTCTCTCTCTCTCATACACACACACACACACACACACACACACACACACACACACATACAGATGCATTTAGCAAAAAGATTATATATAAAAAGTTCCTTCTTGTGGGACATCAATGGCTCATGCCTGTAATCCTAACTACTGAGAGGCTAAAGATCTGCTAGAGGCTGAGATCTGACGATTGTGATTTGAAACCAGCACAGGCTTGAACTCAGAGCCTAGGCACACTGTCCTTGAGCTTTTGTGCTCAAGGCTAGTGCTCTACCACTTGAGCCACAGCTCCACTTCTGGCTTGGTGGTAGTTAATTGGAGATGAGAGTCTCAAACTTTCCTGACCAGGCTGGCTTTGAACCTTGACTCTCAGATCTCAGCCTCCTGACTAGATAGGATGACAGGCGTGAGCCATCAGCTCAGCCTGTTGCCTTCTTGTCGCCTAGCCTGGATGCTCAAAAGTGTTCTCTGTCACCGTACCCACTGTCTGGGCCTGCACAAGGCAAGTGACAAGCTCCACCTACCTCAGACATGTCCATGTTCCAAATATTTGTACGGATCTTGGGGATTGCCAGTTCCTTCAGCCGATCAGTGGGGTGGTATTCCAATGTGGGCCGAGGGATGGGCCAGATGGGCGTGGTCCTAGGGAGCATCCACAGTTTAGATTAATCACCAGCCTGTCCCAGGGGATGGGGGTGGAACGTCAGCCTTTGTGCATGTGTGTATCCATTACTGAGCCTGTTTCTAGAATAATGGGAGTCTAAGAATTTGCCGGGGGGGGGGGGGGGGGGCGGGGGGGGGGGTGATGAAAATGTCTCTAAAAGTAAGCCAGGCACCAGTGGCTCATGCCTGTAATCCTAGCTACTTGAGAGGCTGAGATCTGTGGATTTCCAGTTCGAAGCCAGCTCAGGCAAGGAAGTCTGTGAAACTCTTATCTCCAATTAACCACCAAAAAGCCAGAAGTGGCCCTGTGGCTCAACTGGTAGAGTCCCTACCCTTGAGCAGAGAAAGCTCAGGGACAGTGCCAAGACAGTTCAAGGCTAGCATAAAAATCAAACAAATTTTTTTTTAAAAAATCAGCATGACTAGTAGAAGTGTCTCTGTCCATAGGAAACCACTGTAAATTCAGAGACATGGTATAGAGGTCTTTCCACACCTCTGTGTGTGCATCGTCACCTTTTCTGTTCATATTGGTATCTTAGGCAGAGCACAGGTAATTCTGACGCCATGTGTAGCCAGTGACGGTGGATTCAGATTTCTGCGTGTACAGCTACTCAGAACTCACGAGTAAGGACAGCTTGGAACTCCTGCCAGCTGGCCTGCCATGTTTATAAGCTATGTACAGCCTCAGTTGGGCCATTGCGAGAGTCAGCCTCACTAGTACTAGTACAGTAGGATTTGCTTTTCATATCTGTGAGAGAAAAACTGTCTTTTCTATCAAAGTGTGTTGCTTAAAAGTTCCTGCTTTGCCAGGCACCAGTGGTTCACACCTGTAATCCTCCCTACTAAAAAAGCTGACAAAAAAAAAAAAAAAAAGCTGACATCTGAGGATCATGGTTCAAAGCCAATCTGCACAGGAAAGTCCGTGAGACTCTTATCTCCAATTAACTACCAGAAAACCAGAAGTGGAGCTGTGGTTCAAAGTGGTAGAACACTAGCCTTGAGCAAAAAGAGCTCAGGGATAATGCCCAGGTCCTGAGTTCAAGCCCCAGGACACACACACACACACACACACACACACACTCACACACACACAAGAGGTCTGGGTGCTAGTCGCTCACACCTGTAATCCTAGCTACCCACGAGGCTGAGATCTAAGAATCTCAGTTCAATGCCAGCCCAGGCAGAAAAGTCCATAAGACTCTTATCTCTCCAGTAAACTATTCACAAAAAGCCAGAAGTGTCACAGTGGCAGAATGCTAGCCTTGAGCAAAAGCAACTCAGGGACAGTGCCCAGGCCATGAGCTCAAGCCTCAAGATAGGCAAAAGAAAAAAAAAAAAAAAAAGCAGAAGGTATGGGTATATTTTGAGATTATTTGTGTATTATTAATCCTATACATTTTACCCCATTCAAACTAGCCAATCCTGAGAAGATTGTGAACCTGAGCTCAACCAATCAGAGCAAAGGGGTGGAGCCTTCTGCATAAAGTGATAAATAGGGAAGCAGCCAGCCTGCTCTGGGTGCTTGCTTGCTTGCTTGCTTCCCAGATTTCTGGCTGGTGATGCATCTTTCTGGAGAAGTATATTTTACCTTGCTGAGACAATTCTTTATTTTCCTATCTATCGTGACTCCAGTAGTTCTAAGCCTCATAGATCAGATCTCAGTCTCCTGAAGCTAGGATTACAGGCATGAGCCACAGGTGCCTGGCTTCAGTGATGTTATTGAATATTTCCTTACTTGCATAAAGATGGGAAGTTTGTGTGTGCATAGCTCCAAAGACCACTTTCACATGCATGCGAGGTGAGAGAGAGCCACCAGCCATGTGTCCTGAAATCGGAGCATAAGGTAACTGCTCATCCTGCCATTTTTATCTTTAAGTCAACAGAATTGTGGGGCTTGAAGAAGCTTTTTGTTTTGTTTTGTTTTGGCAAATGCTAGGGCTTGAACGCGGGACCTGGGTGCCATCCCTGAGCTTCTTTCGCTCAAGGCTAATATTTTACCACTTGAGCCACAGCCCCACTTCTAACTTAATTGGAGATAAGAGTCTCACAGACTTTCCTGTCCAGGCTTGGAACTGCGATCCTCAGATCTCAACCTCCAGAGCAGCTAGGATTACAGGCATGAGATGAGCTACTGGCACCCGGCTTGTGATGCTGCTATTTGAGCTCTCATTCTCGCAGATCCCTGCTGGGCTTCTTGTGTATGCAATCTCTGTAAGCCCCAGTTTGTAGGTAGGGTTAGGGTCACAGGGCAAGAGCTCCTCGGGCCATCATCCAGGAGCCCAGGTGATCCTAGGATCTAGACTCTCTGGCCAATCCCATCCAGGGAAGGGAGAAACCGGAAACACTTCCTTGCCCACCATGCAGCACCTGCTCAGCCCTCCTCCCTCACCTGTTGTTGCTATAATACTCCAAGTAGAACCTCCTGGGCCTCGACAGTTCCTCCACTCGTGGGGACACAGCTAACGGAAGAGAAAATGACCCAATTGCCACCGTGATGCTGGGCCCTAGCATGAACCACCTGCCCATCCCAGGGTCTCTGCGTGCTCTGCTCTGTTGACCGTAGACCTAGGCAGGAGGCACGGGCTGAAGACACTGCAGATGCCTCTCAGTACCAGACACATGGCAGACAAGTGGGCTCTGCTGCTCTGGGGTGGGGACAGCAGGCTTGAGGGCTCTCAGGACAGGTCTGAGCGGCTGGAGCTACAGCCCAGCTTATGCCTCCTTTCTAGCAATCAGCATGGACACTGGGAAACTGGATTTAGGTCTAAAGTGTGTGTAAGTCTAGAGTTTCCAGTGTTCAGGGAATCACTGTGGTAAGTCTGGAATTGCAGGTGAGAGCTTGCACCATTACTCCTCTCCAAAGATGAGCTCTTTGGGATCTTTGGCTTTTTCTTTCTCTCTTTCTCTTTCTTTCTTTCTTTCTTTCTCTCTCTCTTTCTTTTGTTCTTCCTTTTTTGTTTTGTTTTGTTTTTTTGTCGGTCGTGGGGCCTGAACTCTGGGCTTGGGCTCTGTCCCTCAGCTCTTCAGCTCAAGGCTAGTGCTCTACCACTTGAGCCACAGTGCCACTTCCGGCCTTTTCTGCTTATGTGGTGCTGAGGAATCGAACCCAGGGCTTCATGCATGTAAGGCAAGCACTCTACCACTGAGCCACCTTCCCAGCCCCCCCCTCTTTCTCTCTCTCTCTCTCTCTCTTTCTGATGTTGGGTATTTAATTTGGGGCTCTACACTTGCTAGACAAGCTAGACAGAAAGCATGTCTTCAGCCCTTGTAGTTTGTCTTCTGGACAGTATCTTCCAATTCTGCCTGCGCTGTCCTTAGGTTTGGATCCTTCTACCTCCACTTCCAGAGTGTCTGAGATTACAGGCATTCCCCCACCATGCCTGGCACACTTACAGTGTTTCATTTGAAGGGAGCCACACTCTCAGAGAAGGGTAGAAGGACTGAAAGAGCTCTCTTTGTCAATCAAACACTCTGCTCCCTGGAGATCCTATCCTGTGCCCCTTATACCAGAACTATCTCCGAGGGCTTGGGCTACTCAGGCAATCCAGTCCCTAAAATGGATCAGGGAGAAGAGCCCCCCCGCCCCCCCCAGGTGGTCGATCAGATTAGGGAGGGAAGTGGTTTGCCCCTGCTTTGTCTCTGACCCCAGGAAGCCAGGTGCCCAGCACACCACGCGGGGATGGAGGCCATCTGGGCTGCCCGGAAATCACCCTACTTACTGGGTACCGTGATGGTCAGAGTGGTATCCTTAAGGAATCGCTCAGTCCAGTACACGGAGGGCCTGGAATACAGCCGGATGGCTCAGAGCAAGGCAAGTAGAGGCCAGAGCCTGCGCCCAGCTGCAGAGGGGAACCTGGGAACGCCTCCCCCTCCCCCACCCCACCCCTAGCAGACAGGAAGTCCGCGGCCTGGGGAGAACGGAGGGAGAAAGTGGAAGAGCAAGAAGAGGGTCCAGTCAGGGAGGGGAGACACCATAGATCATCTGGAGCTGGCCACTGGTTCAGAGATAGGGGCAGCTGGAACAAGAGAACCCAGATTTCTCAGGGAGCAGCGACTGCCAACGTTGAGAGGAGAGAAGAAATGAGAGCTCTGAGCCCGCCCGCCCGCCCCTCCCCCTCACCAGTGCCTGAGAGGAAGAGGATGGTGGCTTGAGTGCAGCCTGGGGGGGGGCATTAAAGGAGGGGGACAGGACACCCCCCAACTCACCATTACAGGCAGAACTGTAATGTAATGTCATCTTGCGTGGGGGAAATCCAGGTATAGCCCTTACAACAGCACCCCGGCCTGCGGGGAGACAGGGACCCAGGCCCTGCCTTTGGCTCTGGGTGCCTGACTTGCTCCCCATTTCCTCTTTGTCCTTTGGACACCACCCAGAGGGCACCCAAGGGGTCACCTTGTCCCTGGGTCCCCACTTCCAGTGTGCTGGCCTCTCCCAGAAACCCCGTTCACTGTCTAGGCTTCCTGACCTGATGGTGAGGGCGAAGGTGTGGATGGTGGGGAGGGTGGGGGGCCAGTGGGGTCAGGAAGGCTGGGGAAGGAGATGAAGGGGTCCCCTCGATACCCAGGCTGGCTCCTCTCACCTGTCTGTAACACTTTGCCAGTTGGTCTTGGGCCTTGACAACTCATAGAGCCGTGATTGTCTCCTGTTTCTGGGCCTGGAGAGACTGACGGACTTCTCCGTGATGGTCAGCTGACTGTGGGAGAGTTCCTTGTTGGGGGGGGTCTGGTCCACACCCCCCAAGGTATCTGGACCCTCAGAGAACTCTCAGGCCTTGCTCAAACATCTTTCCTCGGTCCTGAGCCATGAAACCCACCACTATCTAATCCTGGCCTGAAATGGGGTTTTCAGATGCTGGGGTATCGGCTTCCTCCCCACACCCCATCGCCCCCCCCTCCACCGAGCGCCCACCTACCTCGTCTCAGGAATGTCATCCTCCCTATCCTGCTCCAGGACCTTTATGAGGCTCTGGACGTCTGGCAGCAGGTCCTCCTGGACCATCTCCTCCTTGGTGATGGACCCATGCTGGGTCCCCAGCTCCATCCCATCAGGGCTCTGGGTCCGGGGCTCCGAGAGCCAGTGGCTCTCACTGAACGCACTCGGCGACTCCACAGGAGCATCCTCCGACTTCGTTGACTGTGAGGTGGTGTCTGTGGGCAGACTCAGCTGGCACTCTCCCATGGACAGGGTCCCCTGGGAACCCTCAGCCCTGCTCCCTGACATCCCAAACATATCTGAGCTCACCACGGCAACGGGAGAATGGCCCTCCCCGGCCCTGGGTTCTATCAGCATCATTCCAAGCCCAAAGTGGAATGTGGCTGTCAGGTGGGATGGGGCAATATGCAGTTCCTTCCTTCCTTCCTTCCTTCCTTCCTTCCTTCCTTCCTTCCCTCTCTCCCTCATTCCCTCCCTCCCTCCTTCCTTCCCTCTTTCCCTCCTTCCTTCCTCCCTCCTTCTTTCCTTCCTTCCTTCCTTCCTTCCTCCCTCCTTCCTTCCTTCTTCCCTTCCTTCCTCTCCCTCCCTCCTTCCTTCCTCCCTCCTTCCTTCCTTCTTCCCTTCCTCTCCCTCCCTCCTTCCCTCCTTCCTTCCTTCCTTCCCGTCTTCCCTCCTTCCTTCCTCCCTCCTTCCTTCCTTCCTCCCCTCCTTCCCTCCTTCCTTCCTCCCTCCTTCCTTCCTTTTTCCCTTCCTTCCTCTCCCTCCTTCCTTCCTTTCTCCCTCCCTTCTTTCCCTCTTCCCTCTCTCTCTCCTTCCTTCCTCCCTCCCTTCCTCCCTCCCTTTGTCCTCCTTCCTTCCTTCCTCCTTTCCTTGTTCTATTTCTTCCTCCCACCTTCCCTCCTCTGCCTCTTCTTCCCTTCCTCCTCCTCCCCTTCTTTCCTCCCTCCCCCTCCCTTTCTCCTCCTTCCTTCCTTTCTTCGTTCCTCCTTCCCTTCCTCTTCTACCTCCTTCCTACCTTACTGCTTCTCCTCCTCTTTCTTCCTTTTTCCCTCTCTTCTTCCCTCCCTCCTTTCTTCTTCCTTCCTTCCTTCCTCCCTCCCTTCTCCTCCCCTTCCTTCCTTTTACTCCTCTTTCCTTCCTTCCTTCCTTCCTTCCTTATCTCTTTCTTCCCTCTCCTTCTCCCTCTTCTTCTCCATTCCCCCCCTCTCAGATTTTTTTGGTATGTGTGCTGATCCCAGGGCTTACCTGAATGCTCTCCCTTAGCTAGAAAGGCCTTCTTGCTCAAGACTGAGGCTCTACCAGTTGAGCCATTTCTTCACTTCTGGTTTTTCTGCTGGCTAATTGTAGATTTGGATTTGTCTGTCTGGGTTGGCTTCGAACCTCCAGCCTTAGATCTGAAACTCTTGAATAGCTGAGGCTATAGGTATCTACCCTGAACAACAGGATCCAGGACACCACAGGGACATCTACACCTCCATGTTCATTGCTGCACTGTTCACAATAGCCAAGATACAGAAACTACCCAGATGCCCCACTACAGATGAGTGGATCCAAAAATTGTGGTATCTATATACAATGGAATATTATGCAACTATTAGAAAGAACAAAATAATGGCATTCGCAGGGTAATGGATGAAACTAGAACAAATCATGTTGAGTGAAATAAGCCAAGATCAGAGAGACTACTCAAGAAACAAAGGACATCCTCTTAATTTGTTGCATTGTTTTTAGATGACTCTCTGTTCTTGACCCCACATATGGTATACACACATGCAGATCTGAGGGAGGAGGACGCAGAATGAGAGGGAAACAGGGGAAAATACAACAGAGGGGCCCATCAGCTGTAGTGGACATGAATGAAAAAGTAAGCAATTCAAGGGCAGTGATGGGAGGGAGGGAATGGAACAGCTTACACTAAGCAAAAGGAAGGAAAGAAACGTACGTATCACCCAATGTGGAAGAAATAGTTGTATAGTCCACGTTTGTAGAGTTCATAAGCTTTATAGACCATGATAAATGACAATTCACCTTTTGAAGGTGAAAAATGGACTCATTACCTGACTTATGAAATGGTAAACTCTCCGTACATCACCTTAACAGCAACAACAATACTAATAACAATAAAAAGATGAGATGGTGAGCTCCATACCAAGCAATTTGGCCAGGTTGGAAAACAACTGATATCTCACAAGGTTGAGTACTTTATGCCTGGCCCTGAATGAGTTCCCTCCTGGACTGTCCCTGAGCACCGCAGGGGCCTGGGGATGGCTTAGAGCAATGCCACAGTATGTGGGCAACACATGACTCTCAGGGCCTGCTGGAGGGGGAGCACTATGCAACAGTGAACCAGAAGAGATTCATCTTCTTTGGGAGCCATTGGGAGCTGACAGTAAAGCTCAAAGGTCATCTTGACTCCTGTGCTCGCTTAAAGGCACGTACAAGGAACTGGCTTACTTAAAAGACACCAGGGGCTTGGGATTGCTTTGCTAGGTCTGCAGTTTGTTTTAAATTTTCCTTGTTTTTCTGGACTATAGTAGAACAGCCTGAGTGTGGGGGCCCACGAGGATGCACCGAGCCGCATGTGTGCAACTCCCAATACCCAGGCTGCTCCCATGTTCTGAAGAGGACGACCTTACGGGATACTGACTTTTATATATGCCCAGGAATTAATCAAACTACTTCGGACATTTCTAACTGTAGCGGGACTGATGTTTATTACTGTGCTAGGTGGGGATGTGCGGTCACTGGGACGGGCTCTTGGATCATGCACAAGGGCCCTCCCTATCCTTGTCTGGCGAATGCCGCCCCAGACTTGCCTGGAACCCCCTGCATGGCCAATGCTATTCTTACCAATGTAATCTTGTTAAAACAACCTTTACAGAGGAGGGAAAAAGATAACTAACTGGGAGGTGGGTCTGCCATTAAAACAAAAAAGGGGGAATCTGTAGAGCACATGGGCAGCAAAGATGGCGCTGAGAGGGAGTTGAGTGAGCAGAGCCCGATTTGCTTTATGTTCAGTGCGTAACCAGCCCGTGGAAGCTTAGGTGCATGATAGGGTGTGACCTTGACAGTGATTGGTTCCTCTTCCTCCCCTCCCATGCCACCTGCTCTTTTTTGCTTTAAAAAGGGCTTGCTCTGTGTTAATAAATGAGTTTCCTGCTTGACTTGACTCCCCGCTGCGTCTGATTGTCTCCCCGGCTGAGGGAGGCTGGGAAGAGGCAAGCAGACACACTTACCTTCCCTCGGACCCTGTCCCATCTTTCGTGGGATGGACCAAGACCCGACAGTAGCATAGATCCAGCTCAGTAATACAGAAGGAGCAGGCCCATGGTCTCAGAGAGCTTTGACTTTCAGCCAGACAGTGAGGACAGCTCCCAAGAGGTGGGAGGGCTTCGCAGGGCGGCGCATGCGCAGGTAGAAACCCTGACACTTCGGGGTTTTTTTACTGCCACCTCCTCCAGGCAGCTGGGATGTGGGAAGGGCTCAAGCCTGGAGAGCTGCTGGAAAGAGGTGACAGCAGTGTGTACTAATGAAAACGACCTTACAGTGAGCTAACCAGTGCTCTTGTAATAAAGATGGGGTCGGAGGCATGGTTCAACTGGTAGAACGTCTGTTTAGCAAGTGCAAGGCCCTGAGTTCAAACCTCAGCATTTCCCCTCCTCCAAAAGAAGACTAGAGTGGTTGGTGGGGGAAGTGATGGCTGTGGTCCCGATGCAGAGCTGAGAAGGAGCAGGTGTGGGCCCTGCGTGATGGCTTGGGTCTGAAATGCTCCCCTCCCCCACCAAGGGCTTATGTGTGGGAGTCTTGGTCCCTTGTGCAGCGGTGTTGAGAGTTAAGGCTTCCGGGAAGTGCTTGTGACCTGGAGTTTTATCAAGGTGGGCAGAGTCTGCTCAAATCACAGCCCTCTGGCCTTGCAGCTGGCAGGGTCACAGCACGGCAGCAGACAGCACCTGCTAGTGTTACAGGGTTGTCTAGAGATAGATGATAGATAGATAGATAGATGATAGATAGATAGATAATCGATGGATAGATCTATCATATCTTTCTTCCTCCTTCCTCCTCCCTCTCCCTTACCCTCTCCTCCTTCCTCTCCCTCTCTGTCTCTGAGTCTAAGGGGTTTTGATACCCTGAACTGCGCTCAGATTGGTCGCTGCTATGCAAATGAGGTATAAGACAACTGGCCAATCAGAGAAGACCTGCTGAGTCACCAGTGAGTCTGCAGACCTGAAACTGTAGTCCTCAATTAGGTCCGCCTCCTACCTCAGCCCCAACTAAGACTGAGAGAGGAACTAGAAAGGATGAAAGCAGACATTGTATGCTCCTCAGCTGGGATTTCCAAAATAGTCTAGCATTTTCTATGGTCTGGTCTCAGCTCACCAACACAGCAATGCCCTCCACGGCAAGATGTTATGGAGGGGCAGGGGCAGCCTGGGCCCTGATTTATCTGCAGAACCTTCTATCTTTTTAATTGCATTTGCCCCCATTCACTTGGATGCAACCACTGATGGGTGGGTGATCTGATGCAATCTCTTTGAGGTGGAAGTAGTGTCTTGTTGGGAGACGTGGGCCATGGGAGACGTGGGCCATGGGGGCATGGGCTTGAAGGATTCTCTCACCCACTCTTGCTCTTTCTTTCCCCTTCCTGGCTGCCAGAAGGGAATATCCTCCCACTGCCCCCTCCCCCCTCCCCACTCTCCCTGTCCCCTCCCCCCTCCTCAGCACCAAACTCCACCCCACCCCACTCCCTCAGGCTCAAAGCTCCAGGGCCAACTGAACACAGACAGAGCAAAACCTCCAAAACCAGAGCAAACCTTTCCTCCTCTAAGCTATTTTTCTCAGTTCTTCTGTGATAGCTAACAAGTGTTCCTCACCTGTTGATAAGCAGACCACTCTGCACACTGAATTCAGAGCCCCCAAAGTTCACGCCTGAGCAGAGGATGGAGGAGCAGGTCAAGGAAGAGGAAGGAGAGGGAGAGGAGAAGAGAGAGGAGGAGGGGGGAGGAGAGAAAAGGGAGGAAGAGGAAGGAGAAGGGGAAAAGGAGGAAGAGGCAGAGGAGGAAAGTCTGTGAGATTCTGTGTGTGTGTGTGTGTGTGTGTGTGTACCTGTCCTGGGGCTTGAACTCTAGGCTTGGGCACTATCTCTGAGCTCCTTTTTTGCTAAAGGCTAGCACTTTAGCACTTGAGCCACAGTGCTACTTCTATTTTTTGTTGTGATTCATTGGAGATAAGTCTCTCAGACTTTTCTA